CCCCCGCCCCACCCCCCCCTCTGCCTCCGCCCTCGCCCTTCTCTTGTCGTTGTTGCGCGGGGGCACCAAAACAGTACGCGTCTCCCCTCCCCCACACGTACGTGATGGCCGACGACCTCCCCGCCTCCTTCTCGTGGACCGACGTCGGGGGTAGATCGTTCGTCACGAAGAACCTCAACCAGCACATACCCAAGTACTGCGGCTCCTGGTAAGCTAATTGTGTATCAAAATCCTTGGTGCGATTCTCAACCGGCACATACCCAAGTACTGCGGCTCCTGGTAGGCTAATTGTTTGACAGTATCTTTGATGCGATTCTCAACAAACACATACCCAAGTACTGCGGCTGCTGGTAAGCTAGTTGTTTGACAATACCCTTGATGCGATTCGTCAACCAGCACATACCCAAGGACTGCGGCTCCTGGTAAGCTAATTGTTTATCAAAATCCTTGATGCGATTCTCAATCGGCACATACCCAAGTACTGCGTGAGCTTATTGTTTATCAAAATCCTCGATGCGATTATCAACCAGCACATACCCAAGTACCTCGGCTCCTGGTTAGCGAAGTTGCTGATCGAAAAACCTTCATTTGGGATTCTCATTGAGCTCATACAAGCACTGCGGCTCCTGGTAAGTTCATTGTTTTATCAAAATCCTTGACGCGATTCTCAACGAGCATATACCCCCAAGTACTGCTGATCCTGGTAAGCGAAATACTTCGAGGTAGTCAACTTAACAACCCCTCTTGATGCGGTTCTCAACCAGCCCATCCCCAAATACCGCCGCTCCTGGTGAGCTGCTCTTTGTAGCAAAGCCCGTCGTGTGATTCTCCAACCAGCACGTCCCCAAAAACTGCGGCTCCTGGTAAGCAAATTGTATCATTTAACCTGTAGCTATCATACTACGTTACTGATTCTCACCCAGCTCATCCACCAAGTACTGCGGCTCTTGTGTGTTACTTCATTAATAAAGTCCTTCGTGAGATTCTCACCCAGCACATCCCCAAGTACTGCGGCTCCTGGTATGCTACATTTCCTCAGGGTCCAGTTCTCGACTTTTATAGCACTACTGCGGCTCCTGCTGAGCTACGTATCAATCATACCGTGTGGCTTTGGTCTATGAACGAGGGCATTCCAAACGCGAGCACGCCCTCTCTTTGTTGGCCATCTATAATCGGTTTTGACTGCGTCCTCTCGAGGACGCGTGGTCAATGGTCTAACCGCTACGGCATGCAAAACACACGGGTAACCCCCCGTCCTGGTGAGGTGAAAACCTGGCGTATCGCTCCGTCCCGTCTTTTAAGGGATGCGAGGTCAATGGTCTAACGACTACAGCATGCACGGCCACAAGTAACCCCCCCCCCCCCCCCCC